CCTGATACGCCCGTGTTGAAACGCAAGACGTATTGTGTTCAAGACGTCCAGGTTGGTCACGTTGCGTGTTGGCTGGGTCCGTGTTGGCCCACGTTTGGACGGGCGCATCGCACCAGACTTGCATGTTCAGTCTGTTTGTGGAGCTCCGTGTCGACACGCTACGGGCTGCGTGCTAAGTACGGCCGGACCGAGGTGTAAGATCGAGGCCGGTTCGCGGAGGGTGCCCTAATGTTCTTTGTTTGTTGGATGTTTTGGCGCATTCTGGGGAGGGTGCCCATGGATGGTTTGTGTGTTTTGGCTGGCGGAGGGTCTCTTGACTGGAGGCCGCGTATTGGGGGGGGCAATAAATTGAGGGGGCAACGGAGGTTGCCGAAACGGGGCCCTTCAGGGCCCCTAAAGGGGGCCTTGAGGGCCCCCAATGGGCACCTCTTTCTTCCCCCCCATTTGATTCCTCGCCTTCTCATTGTTTCGCGCCCAACGTGAAGGATCTTCTATAGTCCTAGGTCCGACCGTATCGGTTGGCGGCGAGCCCGTTGGGAAGTGAGAAGGGGCGGGCCCTCTCAGAAGGCTCGGAAGTCCCGCAGCCTTCTGAGAAGTTTTCGAAGTTTCTTCTCACTTCCCCCCCTCTCGCCCGCCGCCGAATCGGGGCAGACGATTTTTAGGCCTTGGGGTCGGAGTAGATGGGATCGGAGGATCGCGCCGAATCGGCGATGCATCGGCGATGCGGCTTGATGTGGGGCTTGTTTTTCTCCCCGGCGTCGCTGGTGCATCGCCGACGTCGCCAGTGCATCGCCGATGCATCGGCGATGCGGCGCGATCCCCCGACCCCATCTAGAAGGGAGGAAGGAGGGGGAGGGAGGAGGGGGAGGACCGAAGAGAGGGAGGGAGGAGGGGAGGGGGGAAAAAAACGGAGGAGGAGAAGGAGGAGCAGGAGGGGGAGGAACAGCAGAAGGAGGGGGAGGAAAAGGATGATGATGATGATGATGAGGAGGAGGAGGAGGAGGAGGAGGACGAGGAGGAGGAGGAGGGGGAGGAGGAGGAGGAGGAGGAGGAGGAGAAGAAGGGGGAGGAGGAGGAGGAGGAGGAGACCGTTGCTTTTTAAACTTGACGAGGTTGTTTACTTTTTTCAAGGGCTTTGGGACAGCGGCCATTGCTAAGAACCAACGAAACATCATGCTTGCTAGCACCATGTGTAAACTCTTTCATAAGCACATTCGCTCCCTTGCCCATGATTTCATGGCATCCGCCCTCCTATACGAGCAATGCGGAGGGGTCGGCGGCCGTAGTACGGACATGGTAGCCCTCTCGGCCAGGACCTTCATTAGATATTGCAAACACACCAAATCGTCGGGACGGATCTTGTGCCTCGACCTGGTCCAAGCCTTGTATTCCACGAGTACACAGTTGGCCTTCTCCCGTCCTCGGGAAGAAAACCGTTTTTCGGACGCCCCCGAAAGGCTGGACATCCCTCCTGTCCTCCTACAGGGGGTTAAGGCTCAGCTTGTCCCCCCGATGAACTGGCTCTCCTCTTTCAGGAAGCGCAGCGAGGCACATTCTGGCGGGTTCGGGACGCAGCAGACTTCGTTGCCCCTAGGCTCGGCTCTCGTCCAGGCACGGTGGCTGCCACGGACATCTTCAACGCCGTCTTCCGTCAAGTGCACATGGACATCCGACATCCGATTGGAAGTCCATTCCGCTGGGCTATCTTTCCAAGAGGCGTATAACGCCCCCACTTCCATTTCTCCACACTGCAGGACTGGGACCGATGCTGCTCAGACCTCTCATGTGTTGGCGGTCTCGCAGCCGTGGCCCCAACCGACGACCCTTGCGACACCCTCGTCGCTGGAAGAAGCCTCGGAGATCTGGTGTGCTGCGCTGCGGCCCGTGCTGGCTTCAGCATCCACGCTTTCAACACCAGGGTTCTCCTCAGCCTCAACGGCAAGGGTTCATGTAAAGCCATGCGGGATCTTCCAGGACACTACCTGAGTGAAGTCACATCCAGCCGCCGGCCCTACACGTTTCCAGTCACCCTGGTCCACAACATCCTGGGGTCCCAGGTTGCAGCGGACGGACCCCTAGGGCAGGACATCACCACCAGGATTGCGAAGTCTGCGAAAGCACTTCGGCCCACTCGCAACACTGGTGCTATCAGGACGTTTCTGAACACCAAATGTAAGGTCACGCTGGCGGAGACACTTGCGACCTCCGTGCTTTTTCGGAAGCCCAGTTTGGACTCGCTTAACGGTCTCCCTACCCAAGAAAGTATCAACTGCTCACCTCGCAGTGTATCGAGTGGCCATGGGTCAAGTGGTTACCAATAGTGCGGAGCTTCACCACTTCAATACCAAGACACTCCTTCTTGTGGGAAGGCTACCCACTAAGGTTGTTCGGATCATCGGGAGACTCGCCTCCTGCCCAGAGTTGGATGCAAAGGCCCGCCAGCATTACGATGTCTACTCGGCATTGCGAAGATCCTGAGGGCTGGACTGCTTCGATCCGAGAAATAGCTCCTGGACCCAGGGGTTCTGGCCGTCTGCAGACAACGACCAGAGCCCCTGGGTCCAGCTTGTTTGAGAGTCCCCTAGGGATTACACACATTTCTTCCCACGGCCATCAGCAGGACTAAACGTTCTACTTAGATCAAGCACACCTTCAGGTTTGGCAGCATTAAATTGACGGATGCTTAACGGAGGCCACTTTCCCAGATCCGTTTCGTGCTCCTTGCTACCTCTGCTACGAGCGCGGGCAAGTAGCAAGCAGCGAACAGCAGCTCAGGGCCCACCTTGGACGCTACCACAAGACGGCGACCTCCGCCTCCAGGCTGGCGACAGGCTCCCTTTTGCCAGGTGTGCTTACGGGACGTCAGACAGATAACCAGGTAAGCTAAGCATCTTGCCAACTCCCCAGCCTGCAAGGTCGCGTGGGAGCAGACCTCTTTTAGACCCACGGAGCAAGAAATCCTCGAGGCCCGTGAAGAAGCTCGCAAAGAGGCCTCCAATAACCGGCTCCATGGGCGCTCTGACACGCATGCTTCGTCCCCTTGGCTGCAATGTGTGGGCCCCGCTTTGCGCCGAAGGCTCGGGCTTCTCGCAGGGATCGCAAACCTGCATTTCCCCTCGCTCCCCCTCCTGATCCTCCTGCTGGTGCCTCTCCTGGGCCCCCCAGGCTCCCAGCGCGCTCCGATAAGTACATGTTACATTTGTTCTCTGGGCATGGGCGTGCGGGCGACTTTCAAGACCACCCAGAGAGACTCCTGCAGACCCATGAGGCTCGGTTTTGGGTGCTCAGCATAGGCCTCGCCAATCACCAGGAGCTAGGTGACCTCACAAATCCAGAGACTGCTGACCTCTGGATTGGCATGCTGCGTTCGGGACGTGTGGCAGGAATACTTGCTGGACCTCGTTGCGAGTCTTGGTCGGTCGCTCGACACCGACCTGCCCCTCGCGCGCGCAGTCCTCCTCGTCCGCTCCGCCACGCCTCGGAGCTCTGGGGCCTGGTCCATATCACCAAACTGGAACAGGTTCAGGTTTCGGTGGCCAACCAATTGCTTCGGGTGGCCCTTCGTTTCTTGCATGAGGCTTCGCGACACCGCATCCCAGCAGTGCTAGAACACCCTGCCCATGCCTTATATGTGGAGGGCGCTCCCAGCATCTGGCTACTACCCGAAGCCATACCTTTTTCTCTCCCTTCCTGGCATAGTTTCTCATTCCATCCACCAGTGTAGGTTTGGGGCCCGCTGCTTGAAGCCCACAGAATTGCTTGAAGCCCGTGCAGCTCCCCACCATGGATCAGTGGTTTAGCCAGATGGAGGGAGGTCCTTTGTGTAACCACTTAGCGCCCCATCCCCCTCTGCGCGGCTTGACCGTCACAGACGTGTGGGGTACCGCGGCGGCCAAGGCCTATCCGTCGGGCATGTGCCGCATGCTCGCCGCCACCTTTCTCTCTCACATTCGCTCGCGCTTCCCTGAACTTTGTCTGGCCATCGTTCACGGTATCCCCTCTGGGCTTCCTCTTGGCTCCTTCCACGACCCGTGACCACTCAAGTGGACGCTCAGCCAGGAACACAAGCTGCGCGAATTGATTGATTTAGAAGGCTCTGGCGGCTCTTGGGTACTTCCGCGCGGGGCTATGGGCTTTTACACGCCCTTGGACCCCATTTATTTCATCTGTGAGGCCCATTCTGAGTTTGCATACCGCTCGCTGGCGCGCAGGCGTCTATCCGACCCCTGACGACTGTGCCGTACGACGAAGGACCGATCCACTCACCAAGACATCCCTGCCTCATAAAAATGCCTTTCTTCCCTCTCGGACTGTTGCTCAGCTGAGTGCGGGAAGGGCCTGTGCGCGAAGGCGCCGGCACGGCTCTCTAGGCCGTTTCCAGCGCCGTCCATTTTAAACACAGTAACGCACAGGTGCGCAAGGTCAAGTTCACTTGCGCTCGCCGGTGGCCGTACCGCTGCTGCCTGGGTGAAGGACTATACTTTTCCACTTCTTGCATCGACCTCTTGCCTCACCACGAACGAACGAAAGAGGGGGAGGAGGAGGAGGAGGAGGAGGAGGAGGAGGAGGAGGAGGAGGAGGAGGGAAAGGAGGAGGAGGAAGGAGGGAGGAGGAGGAGAGAGGAGGAGGAGGGGAGGGGGAAGAGGAGCGGAAGAGGAGGAAGTGGAGGAGGAGGAGAGAAGGGGAAGAGGGGGAGGAAGAGGGGAGGAGGAGGACGAGGATGAGGAGGAGGAGGAGGTGGAGGACGATGAGAGGAGGAGGAGGAGGAGGAGGAGGGAGGAGGAGGAGGAGGAGGAGGGAAGAGGAGGGGGAGAGAGAGAGGAGAAGAAGGAGGAGGAGGAGGAAGACGAGGAGGAGGAGGAGCAGCAGCAGGAGGAGCAGCAGGAGGAGGAGGAGGAGGAACAACATGAGGAGGAGGAGCAGGAGGAGGAGGAGGAGGTAACCCGTATCTAGGAGGCCTTTATAATTTGTGCCGCAGCCCGAGTGGGTCGTTCGGAGAGGACGGCACCCCGTACGTCCCGCCGAAGATGCCGCAGGGGGGGCGGGGCGCCTCGGCTTGCCATCGATGCTGCCACGACGGGGAAAAGTACGCCCCGTGCCTGGACGTCGACGCCTGCGCCGCCCAGGGCCCCGAGGCTCCGGCGGGGGGGGGGGGGCTCCTCCTCCTTTTTCCTCCTGCTTCTCCTCCTCCTGCTCCTCCTCCTCCTTTTCCTCCTCCTCCTCCTTCCCCTCCTCTCCTCCTCCTCCTCCTCCTCCTCCTCCTCCTCCTCCTCCGCCTCCTCATCCTCCTCCGCCTGCCGTCAGGCCGAGGCAATTTTCAAATGCCTCGCCACCGCGGATAAGCGGTGCAGCCTGGGCTCCGTGTGGCACCGCCTGAATGCGGTGTGGGTCCGATGATGTCACGCTCCTTATCCCGCCCGCTCGCGGGTGCGATAAGGAACGGGCGGAGGGCGGCACTTCCCTCTGGGAGGTTCGTGGTCGTTCGTTGTCGTCCTTCGTGCCTCGTTTCGTCGTCGTGTCCGTCGCCCCTTTCCTCTTTGGGAGTTGCGACACGGCCCTGGATCAAGTTCCAGGGTGGACGTTGTTTGCGCTCCTGGGCCAGTGAGTGGCCCTTCCCCCTCCCCGCCGTGCTGCCGCCGCTGTCGCCGTTGCAGCTGTCAGGCCAGGGTTTTTAGTGCCCTGCCACCTCGGCCAAGAGGTGCGGCCTGGGCGCGGGGAGACCCCAGTGGCACCTCCTGGTCTGAGGTGTACCGCCGCTGACGATGACGGAGGCGGGGCCCGCGGCTTCCCGCCTGCAACCTCTTGGTTGCAGTGCTCTTTGCCGCGGGCACACTGTTGCCGTGCTTGTGAGGGTGCGGGCTGCTGGGCAACGCTCCGTGTATTGTCCCTTGGGCGCCGATCCCGAACCCCCGTGCGCCATTTTGGCGCGGGGCGTAGGGTTGTCCTTGGTTTGCTTTCTTTTCCTTGAGTTCCTCCCTAAGGCACAGCATTGCTGGCGCTATTGAGAGCTAGTCAAGGAAAAGAGGCCGGAGGTCAGGTCCCAGCTTGTGTCCGTGATTCGTTTTTTTTGCGCGTGTGCCCTTGGTTTTGGCCGTTGGCCATTTTGACCGTTGACCAGGGCACGTTGGCCCGCGCTTTGCTGAGCGCCACGGTTTTGTTATGCCTTTTGGTCCTCCTCCGCCTCCTCCTCCTCCTCCTCCTCCTGCTCCTCCTCCTCCTCCTCCTCCTTGTCCTCCTCTTCCTCCTCCTCCTCCTCCTCCTCTTCCTCCTCCTCCTGCTTGTCCCCTTCCTCCACCTCCTCCGCTCCGCGTCCTCCCTCCTCCTCTCTCCTCCTCCCCTCCTTCTCCTCCTCCTCCTCGTCCTCCTCCTCCTCGACCTCCTCCGCCTCCTCCCACTCCGCCTCCGCCGGCTCCTCCTCCACCTTCTCCCTCCTCTCCTTCCTCTCACCTGATCCCTCCTCCTCGCTCCTCCTCCTCCTCCTCCGCCCTCCTCCGCCCCTCCCCTCCATCTCTCCTCCTCCTCTCGCCTCCTCCTCCTCCTCCTGCTCCTCCTCCGTGTCCTCCTCCTCCTCCTCCTCCTCCTCCTCCTCCTCCTCCTGCTTCTCCCCATCCTCCTCCTCCTCCTCCCTCCCGCCCTCCCTCCTCCTGCTCCTTCTCATCCCCTCCTCCTTGCCCTACGCTCCTCCTCCTCCCTCCTCACTCCCTCCTCCTCCTCCTCCTCCTGCATCGCACCCTTCTCCTCCCCCCCATCCCTTCCCGCCTCCTGCACGCTTCCTGCCTCCTCCTCCTGCCCCCTCCTCTCCCGCCTCCTGCTCTTCCTTCTCTCTCCTCCTCCTCCTTCTTCCCCTGCGCCTCGTCGTCGCCTCCGCCGCCTCTTCCTCCCTAATCCTCCTCCTCCCCCCTCCTCCTCCTCCTCCCCCTCCCCTCCCCCTTCCCCTCCTCGTCTCGTTCCTCCTCTTACCCCTCCTCCTCCTCCTCCTCCTCCTCCTCCCCTTCCTCTTCCTCTTCATCCTCCCCCTCCGCCTCCTCCTCTTCCTCCTTTTCCTCCTCCTTCGCCTCCTCCTACTCCTCGTAGGCGCCACGGGGGAAGCGCAGACCCCCTCGCGTCGTGATCAAGACCACGACGGGAGATTTTTCGTTCCTTTCGGCCTCTGGGGGCCCTTACCGGGCCGCTGTACCCTTAAAGAACCAGGATGAGAACGCAGTCCTGGGGAAAGGGTTGGGATTTCTGGGTACCGCGCATCAAAACAAATCATGACGTCGCACGTCTTGGAACGGGTCTTGAGGGAAACGGGTCCCGAAGTTCTTCGCCGCTTTCGGGCTCCCAGGCCCTCCACGGGCCTTGGGAGTGTCAGGAAGCGGTTCCAGATTCACAGTTCGGCCGAAGGCCCCGGGGTCCAGGACCCGTTGCCCTCAGCACCTGTTTCCACCATGCTAAGTTCAAGTTCAAGTTTTTGACTGCCGCAAGCTGGTATGCTGCGACGGTCCTGCTCACACATGCCCTGGATGCGACGGGGCCCCCGGTGAGCCACCAAGGGCCCTCGGAGCGCTGCCGAGATTGGGCAAAGAGGCTGGCATCCTAATCGCTCGCCGGCGAAAACATACCTCTCGCATGCTTTAGTTTGGCGGTGGCGACGCCAACATTTACCCCACGGAACAGACTAAACAGTCAGGTGCCAGTCAGAGGTCTCAGAGGTCGGTCGGCCGTCGCGGTCCCCCTCTCAGCGGAGGGCTTGAAGTCTCGGGGTCCGAGGCGGTTTCCCAGCCTCGGGATGCGTTCCGTCAGGTGCGCCTCGCCGAGAGCTTCCTAATGGTGCCGGAATCGTCCCGAGCGGCCGCTGGAAGCCAGGGTCATGACGACCCGAGAACCACCAGGCAGGATTCGACGACGCCAGCCAGGAAGGCGAGTCGAGGCAGCGGTAGATGGCCTTCAGGGGGGGCCCCTCGTCGCCATGGCTGGACGCAGCTCGGAAACTTGGGGCGTTGAGACCCTGGGAGTGGTCTGGGGACCGAGTTGGAGCTGCGGTTGTCTCAACTTGCACTCCTCCCAGCAACGTCGTTTGCCCCAGATTTTGTCCCGCCCTCTCCTGCCACTTGTGGTCGACGGCGAGCGGGGGGGAAGCGAGAAAGGGCGGCCTGCTCAGAAGGTCCGGAAGTCCCCCAGCCTTATGAAAAGTTTCCTGAGCCTTTCCCGAATACGCGAAACATGTCTCAAAGGCGCGAGAGTTTCTGAGAAGCCGCGCCGCCTTCTGAGAAGGCCTTCTCCTTCTCACGTTCCCCCTTCGCTCGCCGCCGATTTGGGTTTCTGCAAGAGGAAGCTTGGCGGAAGTGAAGCGCGGGCGCCTCCTCCGCCGGCGGAAGTTGGCGGAAGCAAGAGATGCTCCCCCCAAGGCATGACAACATTTGGGGGCTCAGGGCGTCGGGGATCTACCGTGTGTGTAGGGCCCGTCGCGCTCTGCGGGCACTGGCGGTGCTCTCAGGCCTGATGCCTGGCTGGTGCTGTGTCGTGGTGCCGTCTGCTCCCTTCAGGAGGGGAAAAACACACAGACACAATGAATTGTCGATCCCCCCGAAAATATGGGAAAGCATGGGAAGTTGGGGGGGGGGGGACAAGAGCCTGGAAACTATGGGAAGACATGGGGAATCCTGTTATTTCTGTGCATTTGTGTGTGTGTGTGTGTGTGTCCCAGGGCCCCTTGATCCCTCTTCTCCCTCCAGGACGGCGCCGGAGCAGGAAGCACGCCACTCGGTCGGCCGAGAGGCGAAGCAGGCTGGACGCACCAGCGTCCCACATCTGGGGCGTCTGGGGCCAAATTGGGCCTGTCCCTCTACAGGAGGAGTGGCCAAAAATAGTGACACATTATCTTGGGACGATGTTTTCTATTCCTGCGCGTCTTTTGCTGAGTTGTGGACTCTTTTTGATACTTCGTCCACGAAGTTCGCCCGTCGGGGGACGTGCCCCACCGAAGTCTGCGGCATCCATGCAGCGAGTTCCTTGGCCAGCATGGCGACCTGGCGCGCTCGTCTCGGACGGGGCCAGGACGAGGAGAGAAGCCCGTTGCAGACTGTTCTGGAACGCTCGCAGAGCGCTCCGGAACCATCTCTGAGAAGGCGGCGCGGCGCCCGAGACCATCGCGAGAGCCGCCGGATCCCCGAGATTCTCGATGTATCTTCGCCCGAGTCTATCTTCTCCCTGGCTTCGTCATACTGTTGCGCTCTTCGAGCCTCCCCCAGAGGCTGGCAGATACGCCTTCCTCCTCTCCTTCCCGGCGGCGCGCGGGGGGGGGTAGGGCGGCGGTGACGAGGGGGGGGACGCCTTCCAAGGAGGCGGGCTCCTGCTCCCGGAGCCTTCGCAAAGGCCCCCCAGCGCTCGTTGTGCAGCGAAGACGCGGAAGCGCAATACAGTCGGACCGAGGTAGAAGATCAGGGTCGGTTCGGGGAGGGCACCCTCATATTTCTTCGTATTTGCTGGACGCTCTTGTACGTCCTGGGGCGGGTACCCTTGAATGTTCTGTGTGTTTTGGCTGGCGGAGAGTCTCGTGCTCTGGAAGGATGCTCCGTTATCCTGTCCCAGGTCCGACTGTAAGACCGCTTGGGGCTCGGGGGGGGGCTCTGGTTCTTTGGGGGGCCGTTCCCGGGATCTCTGTATCTCGGGGAGCCTGTCTCTGGCCGAGGCTCGCCTCAGCCAGGAGAGCCCTTTCGCCTTTGTGCCTCTGGCGCTCCTCCTGGAGGCACGCGGGCTCTACCCCCCCCCCTCCCCCTGCCTCCCCAGAGATCCTACGCCCCAGGAAAATCAGAGCTGGCGGATTTTGGCCGTTTCCGGCTTCAGGGGGCCTTCGCCGTGCCTCGGGAGCGTCAACAGAACGATCCGGGACGAAACACCAGCCCTGGGGGAGTGGCCCAGACCTCCGGGGCCCACGCATCGAACCACTTGGAGCAGCGGGGTGTCTGGGTCTCCGCCACCACTACCACAGGCGGGAGAGGGGGGCGAGGAGGAGGAGGAGGAGGAGGAGGAGGAGGAGCAGGAGGAGGAGGAGGAGCAGGAGGAGCAGGAGGAGCAGGAGGAGCAGGAGGAGCAGGGGCACGAACAGGAGCAGGAGCGAGGAGGAGGAGGAGGAGAGGAGGGAGGAGCAGCAGGAGGGGGATAGGGAGGAGGAGGTGGAGGACGACGACGAGGAGGAGAGGACGAGGATGAGGACGAGGAGGAGGAGCAGGAGGAGAGGAGGAGGAGGGAGGAAGAGGGGAGGAGGAGAAGAGGGAGGAGGAGGAGGAGGAAGGAGGAGGAGGAGGAGGAGGAGGAGGAGGAGGAGGAGGAGGAGGAGGAGGAGGAGGAGGAGGCGGAGGAGGAGAGGGAGGAGGGAGGGAGGGAGGGAGGGAAGGGAGGGAGTGTGGGAGGGAGGGATGGAGGGAGGGATGGAGGAAGGGAGGGGGAGGAGGAGGACGAGGAGGAGGAGGAGGAGGAGGAGGAGGAGGAGGAGGAGGAGGAGGAGGAGGTGAGGAGGAGGAGGAGGAGGAAGAGGAGGAGGAGGAGGAGGTCTGGGTCCTTAGCCGGCCGCCCCCCTCGCCCCAACTCCCCCCGGGGCGCCGCCGGCCTTCGTGGGCGACCTGCGCCGCCCGAAGAGCCCGCAGCAGCCCTGCACATCACTCGGGTGCTGCCAGGAGTGCCCCCTGGCCCAAGGTGTGCCCCCAGGCTTTCTCCAGGGAGGCCCCTTATTTCTGGTTGACCCCAACCCAGGCTTGCTCGCGTAAAAAGTCAGGACGGGAGATTTGTCGCCCTGTTCGGCACCGAGCCCTGGGACCGTCAAAAAACGACTCAGGATGAGAAGCCGGTCCTGGGGAAGGATCGGGATTTCTGGAGACCGCGTATTGAGAAACATCAGGACGTCGCATGTTTGGGAAAGGGGTCCAGCGAAAAGAGGGGGTGCAATAGATATGGTCCAACATATGCGTGGGGTGGCAATAGATCGGGGTATGTGCAATACGTTCCAGTGCGCAGGTGTACTACTGGATTTTCGCGTGCAGTACATCCGTTGCAACACAACGCAAAACAATTATATACCTATGATCGATGTGCAGTACACTTGCCTAACTATATATGTGTATATATATATATATACAGATTGCACCACCCCCTTTCACCTGGACCCCTTTTTGGGTCACGCGGATTACTCAAGACAGGAAACGGCACGAGCATAAATGTCCGGCGCTCCGCGCGGATTTTTTGGATCGGTGCCGCTGCCCCGCCCATGGCGCGCCCCCGTCGCGCCAGGGAGGGGGGGGGGTCCAGCGCGGACCCAACGATTCCGAGCGGACCGTCAAAAGTTTATACAGTGGAGGCCCATGCCTAGAAACACCCTGCTTGCCTCCAGGGTGCCCTGGGTCTCGAGGGGTTTCGAGGGTTCTGCTGTGGAAAGCGTGGCGTTCCCACGCCGAAACATCCATGGACGTCCTGGGGTCCCAGGGTTGGGTTTCTTGTGGACGGTTTCTTGTGGACTGACCTCCACTGAGTATGTTTGTGCCGCTTGTTGTTCTTCCACCGACGGCCTCCAGAGCACCCCTCGCGAGGCCCAGAGGGACCCCAGGGGAGCGCCAGACTTTGAGCGAGAAGCTGAGGGCACCCTGGGCTAAGTCGGGCCTGTCCCTCTACAGGAGGAATATTCCACAATAGGTTTAAGAAAAATATGGGGACGATTTCTTTGACTATTCGTGGCTATTTCGAAAATTGTTTAATGATTTCTAAATTTTCGTCCAAAATCCGCCTGTACATGGGCATGCCCAACTTACACCTTGGGCCAGGGACACCTTTAGCAGCCCCCGAACCTCGTGGCTGGGGTACATCGAGGCCATGCGGCAGCAGGCCGAGGCCCACAGCATCGACATACTGCTCGTCATGCCGCACAACAACTCCGCCTCGGTCCTCCCGTGGCACCGGGAGTGCATGGAGCAGTACAAGATCAAGCTGCATCTGGTGGACTGGACGCTGCCGCCGGGAATGAAGTTCTGGTGGCCAGGCCTCCTCCTCTCCACCATCTTCCGCCTCTGCCTCCTCTGGAGAGAAAGGGAATGATGACCAAGACCAAGACTGAGCGCAGAAACGTCGGTGTCGGTCTCGGTAATATTTCGTCTTGGTCATCGTCAACTCGTGAATTATCCTTGCGATTCGGCCACGGCCCGCATGTAGCATGACCAAGGACCAAGGCCGGCGCCGGCGAGATCCTGCGACATCTGAGTCGTGGTCGTCGTGTTTCTTCTCCTGATGTGCCTCCTGACGCCAGGCTGGGACCCTTCAAGGAAAAAGGTCGAAGAAGAAATAACAATATGAACATACACATTCGACGGTTCGCGCGGATTTCTTGGATCTGCGCTGTACCCCCTCCCTGGCGCACGGAGCGCGCCAAGGGCGGCTCCAGAGGTGCCGCGAGGGGGGGCCAAGCGCCGATCCAAGAAATCCCCGCGGACCGTCGAAAGTTTATGTTTATGCAGTTTCTTATCCGTAAGGGCTTCGCCCCCTGCCGCCGGCCCCCTCTCTCGGAGAATGGGCCATGGAAGAGCTAAGTCATGAGGCTTTGGCGCTGTCGTGCAGCAGTATCGGAACTTCATGCGAGGCCGATTCGCAATCGGCAAAACCAACTGATCACAAGAGGGGTTACCACACAGGGCGATTGGTAAGACGTGTATGGTTTACGAGCTTGGTTACCACACCTTGGGATTAAAGGGCCGAGGGAGTACTCGCAGTTTGGGTTACCACGCCTTGCGATGGATGTGCGTGAGGGGTGGCACCGAATTTCAGAAATGTGGCAAATCCCCTGTGTTTTTGGACCCTGACCCCGCGGATCTGCGTGAGGGGTGGCACCGAATTTCAGAAATGTGGCAAATCCCCTGTGTTTTTGGACCCTGACCCCGCGGATCTGCGTGAGGGGTGGCACCGAATTTCAGAAATGTGGCAAATCCCCTGTGTTTTTGGACCCTGACCCCGCGGATCTGCGTGAGGGGTGGCACCGAATTTCAGAAATGTGGCAAATCCCTGTGTTTTTGGACCCTGACCCCGCGGATCTGCGTGAGGGGTGGCGCCGAATTTCAGAAATGTGGCAAATCCCATATGTTTTTGGACCCTGACCCCACGGATCTGCGAGAGGGCTGGCACCGAATTTCACAAATGTAGCAAATCCCATATGTTTTTGGACCCTGACCCCGCGGATCTGCGTGAGGGGTGGCGCCGAATTTTTTAGAAATGTAGCAAATCTCCTGTGTTTTTTGACCCTGACCCCGCGGATCTGCGTGAGGGGTGGCACCGAATTTCAGAAATGTGGCAAATCCCCTGTGTTTTTGGACCCTGACCCCGCGGATCTGCGTGAGGGGTGGCACCTAATTTCAGAAATGTGGCAAATCCCTGTGTTTTTGGACCCTGACCTCGCGGATCTGCGTGAGGGGTGGCACCGAATTTCAGAAATGTGGCAAATCCCCTGTGTTTTTGGACCCTGACCCCGCGGATCTGCGTGAGGGGTGTCGATTTCGAGCCCCCCGAGCAATTCAGACAACGCGCCCAGGGGGTGCTAAAAATCCCGTTTGGGTTCCCCCCCCTCGCGCGGTCAATCAACTAGTTACAGTAACCAGCAAGAAGCAGAACTGTAACACTGGAAACTACAAGCTACAATTGGTACAGGAAACTGCGAATCACGGTCCTACAGCCTGGTGGCCCCACAAGGGGGCCGGCGGATTCCTCTCACAAGGGCTGGTGTGGTCCCATGGACCTCGTCCGGCTGCACGCCTTCGGCTTCACCGAATACGACGCCGTGGCCTACTTCGACACCGACGTGGAGTTCCAGGGGGACGTATTGCCCATGCTGCGGTGCGCTGCGAGCGGCTACATCCTCACCACGGCTGGCCCGATGTCCACGATCAACATAGGCCTTCGGGCAGCGTATATCTCGAACGACGCAAACTTGCACATGCACAATGTCTCTTGGATCTGCGCTGGACCCCTCCGACGGCGTCTCCCGCGCCCCTGGCGCGCTCCGCGCGTCAGGGAGGGGGGGTCCGATCGGCGTCACCCAAACATACGGCTATTGTGTGTGTGCGTCGCCCCCGAAGGGGCGCCGCGCGCGCCGAGACATCTTCTAGTATACGCTCCGTGGCGGGCGCTTTCTGGACACACCGCTCGGGAAACGACACTACAAGTCTGTTTGGAGTGTCTGACTGTCTGATCTGGTCGGACGCACGCCTCCGAGGAGGACACGTAAGTACCAGTGTGTCCCTCTGTGTCCCATCCAGCGCCGGTCCGAGAGATCCGCGCAGACCTCCGAGGGGCTATGTCTGTGCAGCCGCTTCCCTCCTCCTCCTCCTCCTCCTCCTCCTCCTGCTTCTCCTCCTCCTCCTCCTCCTCCTCCTCCATCTCCTCCTCCTCCTGCTCCTCCTCGTCCTCCTCCTCCTCCTCCTCCTCCTCGCGGCTTCGGGGGCCGCTCCGCTGGCCTCCTCCACCAGGGGGGGCGCGCGTGCGCGCGCGCGAGGGCGCGACGAGGTGGCTGCGCATTGTGCGTGGGGCGCGGGAGGCGCCACTGCCTCCTCCTCCTTCCCCCCTCCTCCGTCCCTTCCTTACTTTTCCCTCCCTTTCTCCTTCCCCTCCTCCCCTCCTCCCCTTTTTGTTCCCCCTCCCCACGGAAAGAGAAGAGGGAGGAGAGGAGGGATGAAAGGGCGGAGGAGCACGGCGGGTGACGGTTTCCTGGAGCCCAGGTTTCCTCGCGGTCAGGCCGTCGAAGAAGTTGATTGCCGCGGTGATCGCCTTCGCGCAGGATCACCGAGCACCGAAGACACCCGAACCCTGATAACACGATGGAGACGTGGCCTCAGTGAGGTCCCCGTCTTCGCACTAGGGGTAACAATTCTGGGCGGTTTGGTCTGATGCACCTGCAGAAAAGCCTACTCTTGCTGGCCCTCCTGGCTTAGGCCCTCTCCCGAAGGGTTCGGGGTCCTTCTTTGGTTACCCGCAGGAGGCGGACTTCAAGAACGAGACTGGCTGGGCGAATGCTGGGTTCGCCCCCTGGAAGTCCAAGTACGTTGGCGCGGAGTGCGGCCAGGGCTTCTTGCACACCCTGTTCTACAAGAGCACCGACGTCACCCGGCGCGCCTTCGAGGCGGCGGGCTTGCCGGGCGCGGCGGACGTCCAGGCGGCCATGCTGGACGTGTGCCTCTGGAACTACCAGAACCACGCGTACTGTCCCAAGGAGTTCGACTGCGGTGCCATCCGGGTGCACCACAAGCCACATCCTTGGAAGACGCAGGCCGGCGACTGCGCGAAGCTCTCGGTGAGACAGAGCGGCGTTGTTCCTCCCAACCCGGCCGACAAAAGAACGAGGGCGACGACGGCGCGACCATATCTCGAGCCGGGCGTCTTCTATCGCCCGTTGCCGCCTTCACGCGCGTCCGGTGCGATGGGCCGCAGTGCTGCTTTCTTCCCTTCTCTTCCCGGTCCAGGTCACTGTAGACGTCCAGTGGTCGGACGAGGGGGATTGGGAAAGGAGGAGTTTCGAGATTGATTGCATGCAGCTAATTCCAGCTCTGCCGTCAAGTCTTTTCGTCGATGGATGTCCGCCTACGGCGCCGGAAGGTGCCGTGAAGTTTAGCTGGACGCAGCTTGTTCGTGAAACCCCGCTTTGCCCTCCGCGATTCGTCCGACTCGATGTCGTGCAAACCAAAGCATCGAGTACCACACGTTTCCTTGAAAAGTTTGTCTGCAAGAGTCCTTGATCTCTCCTTTAGGAAACCGAATGCGCAGGTCCATGATTCGGAATCGGTGGGTCCCCATTGTCTACCGCTGTCTCCCGCTGTTGTCTCTGGTTATCCCCCGTTGTCGCCCGCTGTCGCCCGTTGTTTCCCGTTGTCTCCCGTTGCTCCCCGTTGTCTCCAGTTGCCACCCGTTGTCCTCCGTTGTCTCCCATTGTCTCCCATCGCTCCCCGTTGTCTCCTTCTGTTCCCCTTTGTCGCCCACTGTCGCCCGCTGTCTGCCGTTGGATCCCACGGTATCCTTTAGTTTTTTGTTATCTCCCCTTGTCTCCCGTTGTTGTCCGCTGTCTTCCGTTGTCTCCCGTTGCCGCCTCGTGTCTCCAGCTGTCTTACGGCGTCGTCCGTGGTCTTACTCGTTCGGTTACATGTTCAAAGTTGTTCAGGGTCTTCTGCCGAAAGTCAGTATCGTTTAACCGGTCCCCATCCCCATCCCCATCCCCATCCAGACCCCCGCCAAATTACACCCCAGTTGGGTATAGACCCCTCGAAACCCGAAGGGAACGGCCTATATCCCCATCTAGGGGGATAAATCGGACAGTGGGGCCCAGGCACGCCGCTGGGGATGGGGGTTGGATAAACGATTATCAGCAAGTGTGTAACAAGTTAAACATGAGATGGTTCGCAGCAGATATGGAAGCAACACCGCGTGGTTTCGCGTGCAGTCAGAGTTCGTCCCGCGCACGAGCACACCTGCGCAACAGTGTGGAGTCCCAAGCCATGCAACTCGGATCGATCCTGAACATCCAGCTGCATGCGGTAAGTCCCGCCGCCTTGCCAGTCCAGCAGTCTCGGTGGCAGCTGGTCCAATCGATGAGGACGATGATCGAGAAGATGACGATGAGATGATGAAGATGCTAAGGATCGGATGAGCAGAGAATGAGGAGGAGTGTGGCAGACGATTGAATATTCATAACATGACGAGGGGAGCATGTGGGCGATAAGGAGGACGAGGACGAGGACGTTGATGCTGATAACGACAGTGATGATGATGATGATGATGATGATGAGGATGATGATGCTTATGATGATGCTGATGATCATGATCATGATCATGATGATCGTGATACTGATGGTGATGATGGTAATGATACTGACGGTAATGATGATGCTGTTGGTGATGATGATGATGATGATGTTGATTGTGCCGATATTTATGGGATGTTGATGGTGTTGATGATGATAATTATCATCATCGCGATGGTGATGGCGGCGATGATGATGCTGATGTTGTGGATGCTGATGGTGATGATGATGCTATTGATGTTGAGGCTGCTGAAGATGATGTTGCTGCGGATCATGATGATGATGCTGATTATGCTGATGAGGCTTCTGCTGCTGCTTATGATGATGTTGATAGTAGTGATGGTGATGCTGATGATACGGATGATAAAACTAATGATTATGCTGATGATGATGATGATGATGATGTTGAGGTTGATGGCGATGATAGTGATTGTGATGGTGATTGTGATGATGATGACGATGATGATGATGCTGATGATGATGATAATGATGATGGCGATGTTGATATAATAAATATACGTAGAATACTATCCCTAAACATTAGTACCAGTACTGATTATGATGATGATGATGATGATGATGATGATGGTGATGCCGATGATGCTGATGACAATATGATAAGATGATGAGTATGTTGATGATGATGCGGATGATGCTGATGATGGTGCTGGTGCTGGTGATCGTGATGGTGATGCTGGTGGTGATGATGATGTTGATGATGGTGCTGATGCTGATGCTGATGACGCTGCTGCTGATGATGAGGAGGAGGGCGACGAGGAGGAGTGAGTAGGGGGGCGGAGGAGGAGGATGAGGAGAAAGAGGAGGAAGAGGAGGAGGAGGGGGAGGAAGGGGAGAGCGGATACTTGTGAAACAGTTCGTCTTCACTTCTCGAGGAGTTGCCATGGATCTCAGTTGGGCCGCCTCGGGGCTGGCCTGTGCTCCTGTGGGCAGTCTTGGGGAGCCCTTGGGAACCCTGTGGGCCATCTTGGAGCCCTCCTATGCGGTTTGGAGGCTCTCTTGAGCCGTTTTGGGGCCCCCTTGGCCGTCTGGAGAGTGGCTTGGAGCCGTCGCGAGCCATGTTGGCCCTCTCGTGGGCCATCGAGATGCCCCTCCTTCCGGGGGCCCTACAGCCAGCTTGGGGCCGTCTTGGGGGCCTCTTGGGCTATCATGGGGTCCTCTTTTGCTATCTTGGGACCAGAAGGGCCCCCGTTGAATCCATATTGGAGGCGTCTTTGGTCATCTTGTGCTGACGGGAACCCGATAGTGCGAGGGTGCGAACATCCTTCAACAAATAGTGGAACCTCTGGAACATCGGTGGTATTGGCTTCTTCGAGCCTGGTTGGGGGTCTTCTTGTAGCCCTCTTGGGCCCTCTTCGAGGCATCCTGGGCCTTCTGGAGGCCATCTTGCGCCGCCTCGGGGCCACCTTAGCCCCCCAGCAATTCAGACAACGCGCCCAGGGGACGCTAAAAAGCCGGTTTGGGCCTCCCCCCCCTCGCGCGGTCAATCAACTAGTTACAGTAACCAGCAATAAGTCAACTAGTTACAGTAACCAGCAAGAAACAGAATTGCAACACTGGAAACTACAAGCTACAACTGGTACAGGAAACTGCGAACCTCGCTCCTACAGCCTGGTGGACCCTCAAGGGGGCCTGCGGATATATACATATTTATATATATGTATATATATAAAAACCTTGTCTCAGCTTCGGCCTGCCTCGGCCTCATCCTCAGCCTCAGCCTCAGCCTCAGTCTCAGCCTGAGCCTGTCTCGGCCTGAGCCTGCCTCGGCCTCGGCCTCAGCCTGCCTTAGCCTCAGCCTGCCTCAGCCTCAGCCTCAGCCTGTCTCAGCCTCAGCCTGCCTCAGCATCAGCCTCAGCCTCAGCCTCAGCCTGCCTCGGCTTGCCTCGGCCTCAGCCTCAGCCTGCCTCGGCCTCAGCCTCAGCCTCAGCCTGCCTCAGCCTCAGCCTCAGCCTGCCTCAGCCGCAGCCTGCCTCAGCCTCAGCCTCAGCCTGCCTCAGCCGCAGCTTGCCTCAGCCTCAGCCACAGCCTCAGCCTCAGCCTCAGCCTGCTCAGCTTCAGCCTCAGCCTCAGCAGCCTCCTCAGCCTCAGCCTCAGCCTCAGCCTGCCTCAGCCAGCAGCCTCAGCCTCAGCCTCAGCCTCAGCCTGCCTCAGCCTCAGTCTCAGCCTGCCTCAGCCTCAGCCTGCCTCAGCCTCAGCCTCAGCCTGCCTCGGCCTCAGCCTGCGTCAGCCTCAGCCTCAGCCTGCCTCAGCCGCAGCCTGCCTCAGCCTCAGCCTCAGCCTGCCTCGGCGTGCCTCAGCCTCAGCCTCAGCCTGCCTCGGCCTCAGCTTGCCTCGGCCTCAGCCTGCCTCAGGTCGGGCATTCAAAATATGGCACAGAACTGGTGTTCTGGGAACGCGAAGATCACGAAGTGGCCCACAGTTGGCTCCGGGCGATCAAACTATGGTACAGGAATTTTGTTCTGGAAACACGAAGGACACGAAGTGGCCTGCAGTTGGCTGCGGGCATTCAAAATGTGGCCTGGGAATTGTGTTCTGGGGACACGAAGATCACGAAGTGGCCTACAGTTGGCTCTGGACAAGTGCAAGGGTTTCACGGATTGAGGGCGGTTCTTTTTCAAATTGCGGTTCTCGCCTTAGCGCCGCGCACATTCGTTTTCACCATTCTCAAGAGTTTCACGGATTCCCATCGTCAAAGTACCAGAACTCTTTTCTGTGGAAAGACGAAGGATTATACGGACGCAACAGTTACGTTTATTATGCGTTGAAGTCCTTGGGATGGCCTTCTGGCGCGATTCAGGAGCGTCAAGACGCAACAGTCAGGTTGACCCGTGGCGATGTATTCCCGAGAACAATGTTTTGGCATGCTTCAGGGTCTTCAAACGGGTGTTTTCCAACGCGGCAGTTCCCTCAATGGACATGAACCGTTGTGAGAGCCTATGAAGAGAGAGCTTGGAGGGAGGGTTTACTCCAATATCGTTGGTGACCCTTGGGTTTACACTGGTCCTCCTCCTCCTCCTCCTCCTCCTCGTCCTCCTCCTCGTCCCTCCTCCTCCTCCTCCTCCTCTTCCCCCTCCTCCTCTTCCTCCTCCTCCTCCTCTTCCTCTTCCCCCTCCTCCTCCTCCTCCTCCCCCGCCCCCTCCGCAGCCGTCTTGGCTCCAGGCCCCCCCCAAGGGCCACCCATGCTCTGCGGGGCCGCGCCGCCCGCCGAGGGGGCCGCGCCTCGGGCGCCGCCCCGTGCGCCGCGCGCGGGCGGACCGCGCCTCGGGGCCGAGGCCACCCATGGCCGCAGCCCCCGTGACGGGCCGACTTCCCGGAAAGAGCCCGGCGCTCCCCCAGAGTCACCACCCACCGAGCCACCCCAGCCCAACCCGAAGGCCCAGCTTGACCCTCGATTTCCAGTGGGGGGGGGTCGGGGAATATCGAAAAAGCACGTGCGGAACCCGCAGCCTCCCCAACCCGAAACTTGGGTCTTCGGGTTAGGTTGGGGTGGTCTGGTAGGCAGTCCAAAAGAGTTCGAGCGGGCGGCGTCGGGGGGCCTCATCTCGGGCATGGGGGCCCTCGCCGGGCCTCGGGCGCGGCAGCCGACGGACTCGGGACGAGAAGCCTGGCCTGGGGAAGTGGTCCGGAGCTCCGGGGCCCATGCATCGAAGAAATTGGGGCAGCCGGATGTCTGAGTTTCCACCACCGGTTGGAGAGGAGGAGGAGGAGGAGGAGGAGGAGGAGGAGGAAGACGACGAGGACGAGGACGAGGACGAGGACGAGGACGAGGACGAGGACGAGGACGGGGACGAGGACGAGGACGAGGACGATGATGATGATGATGATGATGATGATGATGATGATGATGACGACGATGATGATGACGATGATGGTGGTGATTAAGATGATTGTTATGCTGATGGCGCTGATGATGCTGGTGATGCTGATAACGACGACGATGATGATGATGATGATGATGATGGTGATGATGGTGATGATGGTGGTGATGTTGGTGGTGGTGATGAAGATGCCGACGATGATGATGATGATGATGATGATGTTGATGCAACTGATGATGATGCTCATGATGATGATGATGCTGGTGATGATGATGATGAGGAGGAGGAGGAGGAGGAGGAGGAGGAGGAGGAGGAGGATGATTATGATGATAGGAGGAGGTGGAGGAGGAGGATGGTTGTACGACCTTCTTGCCATCAGGTAGCCAGGTAATCAGGAGCAGGAGGAGGAGAAGCGGTTGCGTCTGAAGACGCTGAAGCCGTTAGGCAACCGGAAATAGGAGGAGAAGAAGGAGGAGGTCGGCCACGCGCCAGAAGAAGAAGGAAGAGGAGGAGGTGGACCTCCTCGTCCTCCACAGTCCTACCTGTGGTGGCGGTGGAAGATCGGCCCATCACCCTGCGCTCGCGGCGCCCGCCGCTGCCGGCGCCGTCGCCATCGGAGGCGGCGCGCAGCCCCTCGACGCCCCCGGGCAGGCCGTGTCGAGCAGCGGTAGCGAAGAGCCGCCGCGGTTGGCTTGGGCGTCGCACTTCGAGGTCGAGGCTTCGGATCGAGGCCTCCCAGATGAGCGACGCCAACAAAAACGGGATCGTCTGCGCCGACATTGGCGCGCAAGCTGCTCGCGTAAGGTCACGCGTAAGTGCCCTCGCTCCAACGCAGCGTGCCGCGCAGGCGGTCCGCGTAAGCTACTGCGTAAGGTCGCTACGTCATTTCGCGTTGGACCCGTTTTTGATCGTCGCTCATATGGGGTCCGAGTAGATGGGGTCGGAGGATCGCGCCGCATCGCCGATGCATCGGCGATGCGGCTCGATGTGGTGCCCGACTTTCTCTGCGCCGACGGCGCCGATGCATCGCCGACGTCGCCGATGCATCGCCGATGCATTGGTGATGCGGCGCGAACCTCCGACCCCACCTGCTCGGACCCCATCTAGGAGGCCTCGATCGAAGAAGCAGATGAAGACGTGGCAGAAAAGCCTAACAACTTGTGACGGTCCGCGCGGATCTCCTGGATCTGCGCTTGAGCCCCATGGCTGGGCCTTCGGTACAGTGCCTGGCGCGCTCCGCGCGCCAGGGAGGGGGGCCCAGCGCGGATCCAAGAACTTCGCGCGGACCTCCTCAAGTCTATGTTTATGTCGCATCTGCTGTTCTATCTTCCTCCAAGGATGGCCCCCTCGCGCTCGGCGGCCAGGCCGTGGCGGGGAGTTCGATCCTGAGCGACTTCGAGGTGGTCGGGAAGCCCCTGGGCCGCGGGTCCTTCGGCTCTGTGCGGAAGGTCGTTCGGAAGGGTACGGGCGAGGTCTTCGCGATGAAGGCGATGTCCATGGCGCAGATACTAGATCTCAACTTGAGGGGCAACGTCGAACGAGAGATCAGCACGCAGCGGAAGGCTCGGCACCCAAACATATTGCGGCTCTTCGAATATTTCGAGGATCAGGAAAGCATCTACCTGCTTCTGGAGTATGCGCCGAACGGGTCGCTGCTGGACTTGCTGAAAGATTGCAGGAGAGCGGCCGTGGCGGCCCAGAGTGAGCAGCTGGGTCTTCCCGAGACTCCCTCCGCGGTGTTTTTCCGCGACGTGGCGGGCGCCCTCCAGTTCCTCCACTGCAGCTGCGTGGTGCACCGGGACCTGAAGCCGGAAAACGTGCTCATTTGCGCAGGGGGCGTGGCGAAGCTGGCGGACTTCGGCTGGTGCAACCAGCTTGTGCAGGGCGCCAACCGCAGCACCTTCTGCGGCACGTCGGAGTACCTCTCGCCGGAGATGATCGCCAACGAGCCCCACGGCCTCGGAGTGGACGTGTGGGCCGCGGGCGTGCTCCTGTTCGAGATGCTGGTCGGGCGATCGCCCTTTGCCGCGAGCCACTACGTGCAGGTGCTGATCAAGATCTCGAAGGTTCTACATAGATGCTGTGTGGTCGTGCCGCCCGAAAGACCCCTGTTATGTCACTGCTCCGCCGCTTGGCGGACCGCCTTCAACATTAGGCGTCAGATCGGAAACCAGAACATCTTCATTACCATTAAGTTGGGCGTGTCTCTCCACAAGATGATTTTTCAAGAATAGTTAGAACATAGTCTAGGGACGATTTGTCTTGTTCAAATAAAAAACTATGTTTGGCCATTGTTGGGGTATGTATTGACTACTCTTGATTTGTCCCTCAAAATCTGCCTGTAGGGGGACACGCTCGACCTGACATTACCAGTGGCGGACTGTTTTTTCAATCCCAGGACTCTTTGAGGGTCGGGGTGGTGGGGTGTATATGTGTTTCTGCACTGCTCCCAGGGAAGCACGGAAGCACGTGTATACACATATGTGTGCACACCCGTGCACAAGCTTCCGGGCAGGGCCGGAGAACGCGTGGGTGTATATATATATATATACAGATAGAGAGAGTTCCGTTCGTGTCCCGATCAGAGTCCGAAACACACACAGAAGCATCCTGTCGTTTGCCCTTCTTGGCATCGCTCGGACGTGGGCATTTTTTTCCTTCGGCGAGGGCCATCCAGGAGCATCCTGGATCAGAGGGCGAAGAAGCCACGCACGCAATCAAAACAAAAGCACATGCAGCGAAGGGACGTCGGAGCGATGGCCAGTCTTTTGGCCCGGGGAGCAGAGCTCTCGATAAGGTGGCCTACGAGTTCCCGGGCCACGTCTCCGAGCCGGCCCGGGGCCTGGTGGGCCGGCTGCTCGTGCGGGAGCCCGGCCGGCGCCTGCGCCTGGGGGAGGCGGCAGAGGAGCGGCGGCGAGCCCCCGGGGGGGGGGAAGCCGGACGGGGCCAGCGGGAGGACCCAGACGAGCTCGCGTCGTTGTTGTGTGTTTTGCCGCCCCCCCCCCAAACACACACACACACAATCACACACACACACACACACACACAACAACAACAACAACAACAACAACAACAACAACAACAACAACAACACCACCAACAACAACAACAACAACACCAACAACAACAACAACAGCAGCAGCAGCAACAACAACAACAACAAATTTGATTAAAAAACAACTGGACGGGGAAGGTTTTGGCCTCTCGGAGCCCTCACCGGGCTCCGAGGCCGCCGTCAAGAAGCGACTCCGGATGAGAAGCAGGTCCTGGGGCAATGGTCGGGATTTCTGGGGACCGCACAATTAACAAATTAGAGCGTCGCATGTCTGGGGATAATCCATTCCAGAGCGTTGTTCTGGAACCCTCGCCGCGGCGCCCGAGACATCCACCAGAGCCGCCGGATCTCGGAGATTCTCTATTATACTTTCACCCGAATGTATCCCCGTCCTGGCTTCTTAGGAGAGGAAGGGGCGGGCCTTCTCAGAAGGCTCGGACGTTCCCGTGCCTTTGAGAAGTTTTCTAAGCCTGCCCCGAAGACGCAGGAAGCCTCTCAGAAGGCCCGCCGCCTTCTGAGAAGGCCTTCTCCTTCTCCATTCCCCCCCCCTCGCTCGCAGCCGAGAGGATCCGTGGGTGCGGGAGCACATCGTGGGGGAGTGCCAGTTGAGACTCGCAGGCGATTTCTCATCCCCAACCCTCGACCTTTCCACGGAACAAATGGGTCCGCTCGGACAAGAAGGGGAGCTCGGGGACACCCGTGGGAGGGCTGTCTGGACGCACCCCATATGAAGGATGGGCGCCCCCCTGTCGTATGTCTCCGGATTGGGCCCGAAATTGTCGAGTCTCTCCGAGTTGGGTTCGAAATTGTTGGGCCATTCGTCATTTTTGGCTGGGTCGACGCATCTCCTGTCAATGACCGCGGCGGCTCTGGCGCCAGGCCCGGGTCTCCGCCCGAAGTGCGGTCCCCGGACAGGCCCCTCCCGTGCGGTCCACCCGGACCCGTCTGCCGAGGCGGATCCGGCCGAGGAAGCCTCCAGCTGCCTTGATACGCCCGGTTTGAAACGCGGCACTTGCCGTGTTCAAAACCCAGTCATGCTCGCGTCGTGAGAAAAATCGGGACGGGAGGTGTTTCGTTGTTTTCGGCCTCTCGGAGCCCTCACCGGGACCCCGAACCGTCAAACAACGACTCGGGATGAAAAACCGGTCCCGGGGACTGGGTCGAGACCTCTTGAGGGTCGACGCTGGGAACAACTCACAACGTCGGGGCCTGGGCGGACACGCCCGTTCTGAAGCGCAACAGCTGCCGTGTTCAAAACATCCGTGCTCACGCGCTGCGTGTCGGCTCAGCGTGCTGGCCCACGTTTCAGCGAGCGCGTCGCATCGGCCCTGCGTGTTCCGTCTGCGTGCCGCGCCCGGCGTCGGGGCGCTGCGGGCGGCGCGTGGCGTCTCCGGGGGGCGGCCGAGTCCAGAGGAGGACCAGCCGGGATGAGAAGCGCCTGGGGAGGGCCGGCGTGGTCTCGACGGGCGCTCCTCCGAGCCCAGACCCCCGAAGGCATGACTAATTCATGGCGTTCGTGCGTCATTGTTTGACGGTCCCGGGGCCTGGCGAGGGCCCCCAGAGGCAGGAAATCACCATGATGATGATGATGATGATGATGATGATGATGATGATGATGATGATGATGATGATGATGATGATGATGATGGTGATGGTGATGGTGATGGTGATGGTGATGGTGATGGTGATGGTGATGGTGATGGTGATGATGATGGTGATGGTGATGGTGATGGTGATGGTGATGGTGATGGTGATGGTGATGATGAGGATGAGGATGAGGATGAGGATGAGGATGATGATGGATGAGGATGAGGATGATGATGATGATGATGATGATGATGATGATGATGATGATGATGATGATGATGATGATGATGATGATGATGATGGTGATGGTCTGGGAGCGGTGCTCGGCTCAGCCATAAAGCATTCGGCATGCGCGGTCGCAAGGGCCCCGCGGGGCCCAAGCCAAACCTTTGCGACGAGGGACGGACCCGAGACGCCAGACTGGGGCAGCCCCCCGCTACGACCCCTGGCGTCAGGGGCCGCCGAGGGGCCGTCGGCCGAGCTATCCGAGCCACGCCCAGCGGGCCTCATCTTCGCGGGCGCGGTTAACAGCGTGCGGCACACGGCGCACGGCGCCGAGCGGGCACCGCGCGGTCCAGGGAGACTCGGCCGCCGCTGGTGCTGCTGGAGCCGCGCCGACGCTCGCGAGCTCAGCCGCGGGATCGGGCTTGGCGAACTTCCCCTCGGGCGGCTCGCCGGGACGAGCTCCACGGCCGCGCCGCGGCCACCACGAGCCTCGCGACGAGCGCCGCGGCCATGGCCGCGTTCACCTGCTCGGCCTCCTTCGCCTCTCGCCCTCGAGGTCGGGCTCCGGGCCGATCTCCGCCCGGTGCGCGGCCGCGCCTTGCGTGCACGACCTCGATCTCCTGCACGACCTCCTTCTCCTCGCCGTCGCTCTCGTCCTCGATGTTGGAGCCCACCACCTGGTGCGCGGCCGCGCCCGCGCGCACGACCTCGGTCACGGGGCCCTCACACTCGCTCTCCTTCTGCGCGAGCGCGTTGTCTGTCTCGCTGCTGCAGCAGGCGCTCGCCGAGGCCCGTTTCTGGCGGCGGCCCTGCGAGTTGCTGGTCGCCGAGGTGGGCGCCGTGCGCGAGCGGACCAGGGCGGTGCAGCCCTCCGCCGCCGCTCTGGGGGCGCTGACCGCGGCCGCCGTGATCGCGACCGCCGCTGCCCGCGCCGAGGCCGAGCAGAGCGCCGAGCGGTTCCTGGAGCTGGTCGAATACGCACCCGGCGTGTGGTACGTAGACGAGCAGCTCGTGGGCTCCGCGACCGAGGGCGCCTCCCTGGCCCACCAGGCCGCGATGCGCCCGTGCTGGCGGCGTCGTCTCCTGTCTGCGGAGCTCTGAGCGGTCCTGCCAACGCGGGCCGCCTCCCGTGCGCGCACATTGGCAGCGGCCGCCGTGCGCATAGTCTCAGCGCGAGAAAGTCCCAAAACTCTCGAGCCCAAACTATGATGGTGATGCTGATGATGCTGATGATGATGATGATGGTGATGATGATGATGGTGATGATGATGATGATGATGATGACGATGATGATGACAATGATGATGATGATGATGATGATGATGATGATGATGATGATGATGATGATGATGATGATGGTGATGGTGATGGTGATGGTGATGATCATGATGATGCTGCTGATGATGCTGATGGTGATTATGATGCTGATGCTGATCCTTATGCTGATGATGGTGATGATGATGACGATGTTGTTGATGATGATGATGGTGATGATGACGTGGATTATTATGATGGCGATGATGATGATGATGATGATGATGATGATGATGATGATGATGGTGACGAAGACGACGCCGACGACGACGACGACGACGGCATCGACGATGACGTTGACGTTGGCGACGACTACGACGACGAGGACGACGACGACGATGACGATGACGACGATGACGATGACGATGACGATAACGATGACGACGACGACAACAACGACTACGATGACGATGACGATGATGATGATTATGCTGAGGACGATGATGGTGATAATGAGCATGGTGGTAGAAGAGGTGGTTATGACAGTATTATGATGTTGACCTTGGTGATAATGAAGGTGCTGTTGCTGCTTATGATGATGATGCTGATGACGATGATGGTGATAATGATGATGGTGGGGGTGCTTTTCATGATAGTATTATGATTTTGACCTTGATGATGATGAAGGTTCTGCTGCTGCTTATGATGATGATTCTGCGTTAGAGGATGACGATGATT